ACCTTCTTTAGTAGTAAACGGCTAAATCTAGCATATTGGGACTGGATAATTAATAACTAAATTGCAATATTTGTATAGAACTTATTAAATTTTACTATTTATTGTATTTAAATTAATAATTTATCCTTTATTATAAATATCGTTATTAGTATTAATAGTTTAATTAGGTTTAATTTCAATATAATTAGTTTCTTTATTTAAATATAGTTGTATAGCTTTAATAAGTAGCTCGGCGGCTAGAGGCTGAAGTCTTTCTTTATAGTAAAGTTATAGTTTGAATATAGTAAATTTAATAATTTAATATACTTTATATATTAGACTTTCCTCTTAGAAGGTAAAAGCTATTTAAGGGTTTACTTAGTCGGTTTTTAATATTATTTAATTTAACCTTTAGATTTAATTGAGTAGTAATAAAGTAGTAAAAAAAGGGGATTCTAAGGAATAGAAAATATAAATATTTAGTTTAAAAGGGTAAAAGTTGAATAATAGTTAATAAATTTAATAAATTATTATTAAATTTAATATATTTCCCTCTTCGATAAAAGGAAGAGATATAAGAAATAATAAGGTTGGTTTGAAATTGAGTTGTAGGTACTACTTGTTACGCGAAGATGTATTTTATAAATGATAATAATAGAGAATAATAAAGTAAGTAATTAGTTGCTGGATAGAGTAACAATACATAACGATTAATAATAGTCTTAGTAAAGGAAATTAAAGATAAGAGTTATTACGAACCTTAATTTGGGACTTCGTATACGACTTTACTGAGTGTAAGTAAGATAAATATAAGGTTAGTATAATATTAATTAATAATCCGTCAACCTTAATAGAGGTTGATAGGACGAGTACTCTTATACGATAGACTATACGCTCTAGTGAGCGGCTGTTATAATAAGACAGAGCATTTAGGTATCCACTAAGAATGCCCTATAATAGTCTTAATAAGAAGCTAATTAAATGGGTTAACTTAGTAATTATCGACGAGGATTACTATAGTGTTGAGACTGCTACTATTACGCTAGTATAATAGATTCTGGAAGCTTCCTCTACCAATATAGATTCCAATGAGATAATGAGGTTGGGAGAGAGTTTAGTACGTACTGGGACTATTAAAGCTATAATAAATATTAATAATTTTATTAATCCTTTAAATAAGGCTGTTGTTGATAGCCCAGATGATCTTATCGCCTACGTAGTTAAGACCTTCTTACTAGTAATAGGAGAGAATAACGATAATTAATTAGAATAGTAAGAATTACTTGCTATATCGCTAGCGGCTACGTTTAAAGCTATTGCAATAGTTATCTAGTACGAGGAGTAGTCGATAATAGTTAATTTAGTAGATATGGCTTTATTTCGACGGGTATAGAAGAGACTGGTTGACTAGTCGTTGCTTGAAAAATTCAACGTACTTTAGACTATACTAGATTTATACTTTAAGAAATAGTAAACTATATAAATCTATATGGGCAACGTTTATTAGATTAAATATACTATTTTCAGCAGTTTCTGACTCAAAACAACGTAAAAACAACGATTCTGGCTAAAAATCACGATTTTACACCAAAATCACGATTTTACACCAAAATCTTAATGTAACGATAATCTGGGAATAACGATCAGATCCAGGGGGTAACTAAATATCGTTAATTGCAGACTTGACTGTATATATATATATGAAACTGCTTCAATCGCTTAGGCCCCAGTGCTCCTTAGTCCCTTACTAAACAATGACTAATGAAGCTTCTAACTATCTACAAGAGTGCGGGAGAGGAGGTGGGAGTTATAGAAAGATCATGAGACTAGTAGTATTATGGAATGTGGGATATCTGCAGGTGCTGATCTATATACGTGTACGGCATTAAGGGGTCGTAAGAGGAGTAGTTATATAGATTTTAGATAGCGTAAGCGGCGAGTTACTTCTGGATAGAAATTTGGATACCAAGAGAAGGGCATCCCGTCGCTACACTCTCGTTAGGCAGCGGCGAATTCATACGAATATTTAGCGGAGAGCACAGGGGGTAAGGTTGCGAATGCGGGGTGATCTATGATACTCCGGGCCCGGGTGAAGAAGGAATGGCAGTGATGGTGTGGCTATTAAGCTCTCGGCAGATTAACTCTCAGCAGCCATTGGATGATCAGGATAACATTTCGCGGTACCTGCTTGGAGCTTGCCGTAGTACATCGGGGTCAACATTCACCACAGGCCAATCATTGTTATCATGTACCAAGCGCGGTCATGCTCTCCTATTATCTATAATCATATTGCCTAGTCTAGGCTGTTCTTCAGAGTGACATCTTCTTTTCTCTCTTTTCTTTCCTTTTGCTTTTCTCTTCCCTCCTTTTTTTTTTACTTTTATTATCCTCCTTTACCCACTGCCAACCCGGAAAGTGTCACGGGTTGCGCTACAGTAAACAGAAACATCAAAGGGTATCAATAAGCCAGCAAGGCTTAGGAAAAACCAAGGACCAAAACAGACGAGCCAGGACTGCACTAATTAAAACTTGATGAAGTCCTTTTGCTCGGCGAAATCCAAGTCAGGATCGTCGTCCTGGCCAACAAACTCGTCAACGTCGTCCGAGTCGATATCGTCGCTATCGACTGATTCGTCGTCGCTGGATAGATCCTCCATCTCGGCGTCGTCGCGGGCATTGACCCTGCGCAAGACGCTTGCCCTCTCCCGGTGCGGCAGTTTACAGCCCTTGGTATTACACACGCCAGTGTTGCTGAAGTCGGGACATTCGAAAACATGGCGGTTGGTGCAGCTTGCACCCTTCTCGCAGTAGCCGTAGAGGCCAAACTCTCGGCAGACCGGGGCAGCTGGAGACACCTTTGCGTGAGTGAATTTGCAGTCAGGTTTGGTGCAACTGTCCTTAATAAAGTGCAAGCACGTGGGGGTGCGTTCCGCGGAAAGTTCGTGCGAAAGATCGCAAGAGTCACCGTTGATGCATTCTTCTTGTTGGAGAAAGTCCTTGCAAATGGCAACCTTGGCTGGGTCGTGGATATATCGGCACCGAGGGCCTTTGGTGCATGAACCTGCAGGGGATGTCAGTATAAACATCGTTTGGACTTACCAGACCCAGTCATTTCGACGTGGTGTCGGTTAAGGTTTCGAAATCTGAAAAGTTGGAGTTACCGGTCATGGAGAAATTGCGACAAGGCACGTTGACCTTCTTGACAGCGCCGGATTGCCTACCACAAACTAGGATTAGCGGATGATTCAAAGGGGACCGGGCCACATACCGCTGCGCTTTAACAATACCATGGCGGTACAAATTCCCGTTCTTGCTACGGTAGAACTTGACACCGCCTACAATAGCCATTTTCGGGGTCGGCCCTGAGTTGAGATCGCCTGTGAAAGGGTGAGTATTCGGCACATCCAGCACTTGTGGCCGCGGTTTCGACGCACCGGGAATCTTGACAAGTTTGCTTCCGTTCTTCGTAACGGCAAAACGTATACCCTGTACGGTTAGTTCATATTGGTTTGGTACCGCTGCCGACCGATCGCCAGCACGGTGTAGATGGTTGATCAACTTGGTTCGTTCCAGATCATCTCTCTGTTGTTGCTTATGGCGCAGAGTTTGCTCGATGGCCCGAGTGCGAGCCTGCGCTTCCTTGTGATAGATGGACAAATTGATGATTTGAAGGTGACGGTCGTTCTTTGCCACCCAGGACGAGGGGGACGAGTCGAGCGCGGCGCCTGAAGTGGGCTGACCTGCTTTACCTTGTTGAGACGCGCCGTTCAGCACCAAGGTCCTGTGACGGTGGACAGGCTTGGTGTAATGGGCGCGGGTTGGGTATGGGTAGCCTCCTCTTTGATGACGCCAGCTTCCAGAATAACCTGAGTCTTCAAGACCGTCAATACCAGCACGGTTGCTGTTATGATACTCCACGGACGTACGGTGATGCGGTGGTGCGTGGCTGCTCTGCGGCGGAACAAGGCCTGCTTGTTGATTTTTGTGCTGGTTGATCTGACCGGCCACACGGGCAATCCTCTCCATCAGCTCGTGTTCCTCGGCAGACATTGTCATCTTGTTATCTTTTTGTTCGAATCCAAGAGCCGATACAAGTAGCTGTTGCTGCAATTTCAATATTAAAAGAGTATCGGTATATTGCGGTCACGTTCCACGATCAAGCAGTGCCGGTCTTTGTCGGTTATTTAGATTGAGGAAAATACGATGAAGGGTCGCGATGTTGCTGGTGCCGTTTGTTCGATGCGATAAGGTAACGCTGTTGTTGAGATGATTGTGGCGGCGCGCAAAACAGAGGATGATGGGTGCAAGAAGGATTTTGGTTCGGATGTTCAAGGACGGCGGCGAACTGCCAGTGATCTTTTGAGGGGGGATGCGCCAGAGGTCAGCCAATCAGAAACGGCCAAGGTCGCTATCAGAGAAAGAAGGCCATGGAGTAATGCGTCAACCAGTCAGGGCACGACCAACCAGGACCTGAACATTGGGAAGCTGTGCTGTGCACATATGATAGTATGGACACTACGTCGAGGAAAGCAGTTTATGCAAGATACCTAACCTCAATGCCCCGTGGTGAGCTCACTTTTCCTCCTAATCAGCTACCATCGGCTTGTTTCCAAAAAGACCCAAGGCACTCTTCGTACCTTACTTCCACTTCTGTTCCTTTCTTTGAGCCCAAAGAAAATATCGCCGGATACAAACAAGAACGCTCCCGTAGACAGCCGTACTGCAACCTATGGGACTCGAAGTTTAGATAAACTCCCCTCAGAGAAATCCAAAACCACAGGCGCCTTCACCAGACTGAAGTCAACCTTTAACTGAAAGATGGATGCATAATCCTAGGTACGGCTAAGTACTTGCCACCAGAGACCCCACTAGCCGCTCCGTTTGCGGGAGAGCGGGTCGCGCTAGGATCAGGTAGCGGCTTACATAATAGTATACAGGTACGTATCCAAGGTACAACGGTCTTTGTCCTGACGTTGACGCTCGCGGCTGCTTTCAACCAGGCAACCTCTCTACTACTACAACAACAACAACAACCACGACAGTCACGCCCCAAATTTCCGTCCACGCTACCACCACAAGACGCCGGCAACCAGCGAACGAAAAGTCCATTTTACGCACATATTAATATTTGCTAGTTTCGTCACAGCGACCAACTTCAATCATGGCCGATCCAATGAGAATCAAGCCTGACCCGGACGCAGCCTTCGCCGAAGACGAGCTTGACGAATCAGCCGACTTGGGGTTCTACGATCCCAATGATTTTCCCTTGAAAAACGCGTATCTGGCTCGCCTTCCGGGGTATGTCTGGAAAGCATGGGCTTCGCTTCCCGATGATGCGGAGATTCAGATTGGCAAAGTTCGTCGAATTGTACAAGATGGTCAACCGGAGGTCAGTAGCAGCACTCCGTGACAAGCACTACGTTTTAATAGGTTACTGAGACTGTTTGGGCTTTCAGAAGCTACAAATTCTCCTCGACGATCTTCCACAACACTACGATATTCCTAAGGAATACAACCTCGACATGGTGGATGCCAACGTCAACAACACCTTCATCTTTGGTGAACATGATCACCCAAGTTATGCCGCCAAGAACAAGGAGCGGGCTGAGGCTTTAGCGCAGGGAATACCTGCACACCTTGTGCGCCAGCAGATGAAGCAGTCGGAGCCACCTCAGGAGCGCGGAAAGAAGGGACAGCAGTACACCAAGAAGGCCATCCCGAGTTCGTTACACCCAATCTCAGCTGGCCTGCCTTGATAGGTGCTAACTTAAGAGTTCAGAACAAACGGCGATTGCAGCAACAATCAAGCGTGAGGTTGTCGCCACTCCTTTGGAAAATCCCGAGACAGACTATGCGCTTGCTGCCCGAGGCCAGAAGCAGACGGCTCCCAAACATACAGTACAGGTCCTGGATCGTCTGCCACCCAATGGCATCACGGATCCCAAGGGCTGGGAAACATTTTTGGTGCGTGTACTTGAAGACATATCACCACTAGAGCTTTCACTAATAGCAAACAATAGCGCACGACCGAGGCTCCGAGCAAGGCCAAGAAGATGGACAACAAGACAGCTCGCTGGCCAGAGAACCAGCTGCTCGACGAGCTCGCCAAGTGCTTCTCCGTCTACATGTACTGGTCCATCAAGGCGCTGCGCTCTCGGATTCCTCAGCCCGAGGCGTTCATTCGAGAGTGCTTGGACAAGATTGCCGTTATTCACCGAACTGGTACTTTTGCAAACCACTGGTCACTCAAACCGGAATACCAGAGTATGATTTCGGATAAGGACCTGCCGGCACCAACCAACGAAGCGGCACCAAAACCCGAAATTGCATCCGAGGATGAGGACGATGACGATATCAAGATGGAGGACGTCCTGTTTTAAGATGACAGGACTGAGCGGGGTCTCCATGGATGCGATCTTCCTTCTGACCCATTTACTTGCTTTGCGTCAGGCGTTTAGAGTAGACTGGGTTTGCTGCGTTTTTCCTCTGCTCGCCAGACGAGCGGTCTTTCAAGACCATGCTCATACAATGATACCCGTTGCATCACTTAACAAGAGTCGATTTTCCGGTTTGGGTTATTTGTTCTTTCAATCGCGTCAAAGCGTTGCAGTCGTTGATTATGCAAAGGCTCTTACATTCCAAGTGTTAGTCCCAATGCGTGAGGTTGGTACAACACTTTGGGCGATCCTTTGGTCAACAACATTATCCATAAATGAAGTGGGGCCCTATGTTAATCATTCACGATTCTTACTGGCCAAAAAATGCTATGGTTACTGGTGCTTTCCTTCTTGTCCTGGCTACAGTTCCCCTGGAGTTTCCACTACCTACTTACCTCCACTCACCTTCGGGATATCACAACCCTAACTAAAGCCACATTCATTCTGATCCGAGCCAACCTCCTTTCGAGTTCAATGCCTCTCTGGAAACCCGCTCATCAAAGAATAACCCGCAACCTTACCAAAAGAATGGCTCGCTTTATAGTCTTTGACTTCGATGGTACCGTTACCCAGCAAGACACTATCAACGTTCTCGCTCAATTTGCCATCTCCTCTCGCGGTTCCGCCTACTCTCAACAAGAGGCTTCCGAAAACTGGAAACGGATAGTCGACCCATACCTCGCCGACTACGCAAAGCACAAAGAGTTATACGTCCCCAAAGCCGAGGATAGAAAACAATTAGCGCAGGAGCTGGCGTACCTAGAGAGCTTGAGAACCGTTGAACTGTCTAGTGTGGAGAGAGTAGTTAATACAGGGTTCTTTGCCAGGTTGACAAGTGAGCAGTGGGAAGAGTTCGGGAGAGAGGCTCGACGGATTGGCGAGGAATGGAATCCCGACTGGGACGGGGATGAAGGGAAGGCAGTGAGGGTGAGAAAGGGATTTTCGGAGTTTGTGCAACAAGCTAAGGCGAGGGGAGACAAATTGGGGCTAGTGAGCGTGAACTGGTCCAGGGCGTTCGTTGAAGGGGTGATAGAACCTGAAGATCCGGACCGGAGTGAGTTTGTCAAGAGGGTTAACGAGATCAAGTGGCCTGGCGGACAGCTGGAAGGACCAGAGGAGATGGGCGGGAAGGTGATGATGACTGCTAAGGATAAGCTTGAGGGGTTTGAGACGATGCTGCTGAAGGAGTCAGCCGGGGGGAGCAAAAAGCGTGAAAGCGTGTACTTTGGCGATTCGGTGACGGATCTGGAGTGTTTGTTGAGAGCGGATACAGGGATCGTTGTGGTGAATGAGGGTGAGGAGGAGCAGAGCACGTTATTGGGGACCCTAACGAGGTTGGGCTTTGAGGTGCCGCATGTGTCGGAGGGTCGGGAAGGCATAAAGTTGGCATGGGCAAGAGATTTCAAGGAGGTTTTAGGAAACAGTATTTTGGGTTGACTTCAACCTTGATAATCGGTGGTATATCTGTTGAATGCGATGAAAGCCACAGGTGTCCATGCCCTCCCTTAGTCCGTGGTTGTTAGACTACAGTACCAATGACAAGTCGGAACTTCTTTCATTTCTATTATCCGATGTATTTTTACCACAAAGCGAAGGAAAGTAAATGATAAGATTTGCCCATAGGATCATGATGTTTGATCAAAAGCAGACCTTGGAACCCATTATATGTGTGTTTGTCTCTCATTTTCGTTGTCCTCATTTCTCTGACCAATCAATGGCACCACTAGTGTTGACAATACAAAGTCTTTGTCCACAAACATGTCACAACTGATTTTCTGCTATGTTCGGAACATGATCTCTGATAACAGCACCGTTGGTTTGCTTTTGTCTTGTGCTGAAACATTGTACCAAACGCTCATTCCATCAGCTCGAAATAACATAATAAGCAGCAATGTCCGCCGCGAATACCATGTGTGCCAAACATCATCATGCTTTAGATACCAGTACTTATCCTTCACTACGTGCCATCCCTTCGTCCAAACTAGTATCAAACGACAACACAACACCCACTGAAAATGTGTATCCATCATCGTCTCATCTACCGCAAATGCGGCCACTTCACCTGGCTAGGCATAACCAAGAAGTGTCAGTCAGAACGCAACTTCGACCAAGGCAAGATCGACGAAGGCTGCAATGTCATGTGGACGCATCCGCTTTCAACATACCGAGTCGACAGGTGTTGCGAGAGTTGCGCCCTTGAAAGAGCAACAACGAATAGAGCTATTGATGAAATTAGAGGGAGGATCCAGTTGACTAGAGAGTTGTTGGCCAAGATCCAGGACCTACGGGAGGCTTCTTCTGGGGTTCTGGAGCGTGGCTGGAGTGATGGGGGGGTTGAGTCTGCTACCTCAATGAACAGGGGAAGTATCGTGAAGGTGGGAGTTGTCGACGACGACTGTGGGGGTAACGGTGATGACGAGGAGGCAGAAACCATGGATCTTATCGATCCTAATGAAGTGATCAAGGTGAGTCAAGCTGATTTCCGAGATATGATGGAGTTTGTGAGGGAGCATGCCTCTAGTTCGGAGTGAAGTCCTAAATGATATTGGATGAGGTTCCCTTTACCATGGTTATTCCTGGTCCTCTTAACGAGAGTGAGCCTGTAACAGACTAGTAGTAACAATTCGCGTAGAAAAACGAACAGTTTGTTGGCGGCATTAGCATCGGCCTTCAACCTCTCAAATCTCCAAATCCATCGAAAAAGCGATCGGAAAGAAAACTAAAAGCCAAGAGCCCAACTCGCAGCTCCTTACAAAGTCAACATGTCATCGTCAAACATCACGGTCCCTTACATGCTAGGTAAGCTTGAGATTACCCAGCCCAGCCTTTGAGTCCTGTCAAGGAGCTGCCACTAATAGCAGCCGTTAAGTAGTGATCAAGAGGCACCGCGGCCACTCAGCCATGAAGACGGGCTCAGCCAATGTAGCGAATCGCTCTTTTCGGATGAGACAAATCACGAACTGACCATGAGCGACGTGACCTCCTAAATGGTCACCTGGCTTCGACAAAAGTGCCGTGGTTGGTTGGGGTTGGGGAACAGAACGACGGATCACGGAAGGGGGTCCAAGTCAGCTGGAGGACCGGCCACTCGGGGCGCTGCTGTCAAAAGGGCACTGGACCAACACGTGTAGAGCCAATCCACGCCAAGCAATATGGGGATCGGGGAATGAGGACCGTGCACTGAGTCCCTTAAATCCCGTCCTGCCTGCCCCAACCGGTTCGTCGTATCGCATACTGTAACGCAGGAACGCGCATCGCAACCGACATCACCGCTACGATTCCCCATTTTCCTCATTTTCCCCATCCCCCCCAGCTCTTGACGATGCCATGGGGTCTGTGGGCATCGCCTACCGGGAAGGATGAGGGAACTCCATCACCCGCTTCTTCAACCAAGTATTCATCAACAACATCAACAACAAGCGTCAACCACAGCAATCATGGCATCCACAGCATGCCTTCGAATCTCCATTCCAACTCGCCTCGTCCAACGGAGCGTGCGACGCCGCCTGCCGTAGATTTGGCAGGCATACCGCCCATACCGCCCCAACTAAAAAAGAGAGCCATTTCCTGGAACGATTCGCTTTGGACGCTTATCGACTGGCAGCACTACCAAGAACCGCGATCGATCGTGCTGTACACCCTTCCGACCATCGGAGCTTTCGCGCTCTTCGGCATCTGGCGTTCGTTTCTCCGCCGCTTTCGCGGCACCGCATATATCTCGCCCGGCTTCTTTCGGCGGCGCACGCTGCTGGGCAAGGTGACGAGCGTAGGCGACGGCGATAACTTTCATTTCTTTCACACGCCCGGCGGGCGGTTGGCAGGGTGGGGCTGGCTGCGTAGGGTGCCAATGGTTAGGAAGGAATTGAAGGATCGAACGGTTAGTTTGCCTTTGCGCAGTCTCCAACACTACGAAATGTAACATGTGAATGAAACAATGAGCGGCGATAAAGTGTTGACTCGAGTGCCGCTTTTACCAGATCCCAATCCGCATCGCAGGCATCGACGCCCCAGAAGGCGCCCACTTCGGCCGGCCCGCACAACCCTACTCGAGCGAAGCCCTCCAGTGGCTCCGAAACTACATCCTCGGCAAGCGCGTGCGGGCACGCATATACCGCAAGGATCAGTACGACCGGGTCGTTGCGACCGTCTTCGTTCGGAAACCGCCCTTCTTCCTGCGCAAGGACGTTGGGCTGGAAATGCTTAAACTTGGGCTGGCGACCACGTACGAAGCCAAGACGGGCGCGGAGTTTGGCGGGCCTAAGATGGAGCAGGTGTATAAGGATGCTGAGGCGGCGGCGAGGAGGAAGGGGAAGGGGATGTGGGCGAATACCCTGACGGGATTCTTCGGGCTGGGAAGGAGAAGGGAAATCGAGAGTCCGAGACAGTATAAGGACCGGATGAGAGCGGCGGGCAACACTATACTGGGTAAGAAGACTGCGGCGCCCAAAGCAACAACGGCTGCCAAGAAGGCGCCGGCCGTGAAGAGAGAGACGGCGGCGGCTGCGAAGAAGGAGAAGACAAAAGCGACGGCTGCAGATAGTACCGTGGCAAAGATGCCATGATGGTTGCAGGAAATGGACGACGACTGATGATACCCATAAATGATATATCCAAGGAAGAGGTCAGTTGGCACAGAAACACAGTCATTGCTCGGAAGTGCTGTCTTGGTTCGCCGAGTCTCCAATCGTTTGGACTTGTCGTACACAATCGCATTGAATTTGAGTAGAGTCTATACTGAGCAGGCCTTGTACATTCGGCTTTGTGACATATGGAAAGCACTTCCAAGAAGGTATGAAGGACAGAACTGTTGCCGCGCCAATACAAGCTCGTTTCATTCCCCAAGTCTATTCTAGAAACGCACAGTTACTTCGTAGGTTCCTGCGCCAATAAGGCGGTACAAAAGCCAGATGAACCCCAAATGTTTCGCATAAGTCATATGCAACGCACGTCTGTCGATCCCGTCCGCTTTGTCAGGAACGCAAAGCCTTCTACCATAACGGTTCCTTTTACGCATGATCGACGCTGGGAATGCCGGTTGTTCGCTGTTTGGGCGCCGTGTTCATTGATTGTCCATTGATACCTTTACCCCATACAACTACGGAGGTGATTTTAACTTGATATTGGTTCGAAAGCCGAAACATAGCAATGGCGGGTAGGGTGAAAGCCAACGGTACCATTTCTCACAACCTCTACCTGTAAGCATGTCAGTACCTGGGCAAGTTGGTGAGTTAGCTGCCATGACAGACCAACACCTATCCCCAACGATGAAAGCTCCCACTCGAAGGTCATACGGCCGATGCATAACGGCTCGCGAGGGGAACACCGAGCTGGAAGCTTAGAACGTCTAGTCCAGGTCTTTTGAGCGCCGAGGTGAGAAGGGAGGATGGGATCCAACGCTGATGACAGCCGGTTCGTGCGGCGGGCGCCTCGTGGCTTCGGCTGCGCACAGAGGCACGCGAGGGACTCGGAACTGAATTCTCGCTTTCTTCCAAAAGACTTGTCTAGCTCCCTAACGAATGGTGGCTTTTTCCCGAGTTTGATTGACTAAATAATATTCGTGTGAAGCGCTGTCCACTTCACATCGAAACTCATAGAGCACTCAAGCATCTGCCCGAGACAGTCACTGCAGTGAATTGTGAGGTGATCGCCGTTCCTGAAAGCGATCGCTGCGATGGCTGCGGAATCTGGGACGACCCCTGTCGCTATTCACCCAGCTAACCCAATCGCACGATAGTCCCGACGCAGAACACCGGGTGCCCCTGAATGTCCGCTGTGGACTGCTTCCCTTGGGCTTGGCTGATGGGGTTGGTAGCGCTGTTTGAGATTTTCGGAGGCTTTTTGAGGGTCTTTCGACCTGCGTTTTTCGTGAGGTTGAAGGATACGAAGACAAAACGAACAGCGCCACGACAATCATTTCAGCAATCATCGCCTTCACGATACTCGCCATTCTTTTTGCCCTTCAATCGCATCATTCCTTATCTCTTTCTCTCATTTCTTCGGCTTGTCCAAGTCTTTGAATATCTTGAAGCAATACGGGTAGCCGTCTTGTCACTCTTCTTCGTATTGCGTTTGTGCAGTCGCCCAGCGGTCACCAATCGCTCGACTCTGAAGAAGGCGTGGCCGTCGGCCCCTGATCGTCGGACTAAGGTTGTTCTCTGAGACATCAATTGAGACCCCGGCTTGTGAAAAAGGAGAGCTCGTTACGAATGTAATGCACGTCACAGCGCAGCGTTCTTGGTCGGTACTCGAGACTTGAGAAAACCAGCGTAATCAGACAACAAACAGGAGCTTCGAAACACACTCATCTTTTCTGCGTTGTGTTACGGGTTGAGAGAGACATTTTGTGCGACGAAAGAGCGACCTGGGGTTGCACGACGAGCCGCCTGCGAAGCGGAGTAACACTCATTTAAGTTGTGGAGCACTCTTTAATAAACGACATTGAACGTTCAAGGGAGAACGGAACCTAAGTGGAAGATCAAGGAAATCGCCTCCTGGCCAATCCTCCCCCATCACTTCATCGATCAAAGGCTCAAAGCTATCAATATCGAAAACATCGAGAACACTCGAGGAAGCACGGCACACCATCATAAACGTGCGCCCAGCGATCCGCCACCTCGCACGCCGTCGTCCGAAGCTGTCTGAGCGCGCGGGCCATCTCTCACGCGCATCTTCGAAACGCAGGCAAGCCAACCTTGAGCTCCAAGGTGCAGCAACTGGCACAGAAAATCTGATCACGAGCGACGCGAGCAATATCATATCAAGATATCGGCACCTACAGCTTTTCGTCCTTGATTCTTGTTGAAAGGTGCCCTGTGGGCGCATCTTGTTTGTGCTGCCCTTTGGACATTGAAACATCAACAGGCCGAGAACAAGAACAAGAACCAGCAGCTTGTCGCCCGGTCAGGACTAACCGCTTTCAAGGCTGCTTCAGGTGACGACGGTCCATTTGTCGACGCAGCTACGGTTGTGTTTCCCGTTGTAGATAAGCGGACATTGCACCGACCCCGGTTGCCCAGTCATTTGCTGGAGGGAAGGAACACAGAGACAGGAACAGGAACAGCTGCCGTGGTTGTGCTCGTGGCTGCCCGTACCAGTACGCGGGAGGAATTTGCGGTCCGTGCAACGTGCAACTACCTTACATAGAGGCAACGAGCGAAGCTTGAGTGTCACGCCAACAGGACCCCCAATCCAAACACATTCATTCATTTCAGTTGTACCACAACTTCCACTCATTTTCTTCGACACCCAGACGGGAGTTCGGGTCACCCTCCATCTCAGCATTCTTGAGCGTCATCACACATTTCAGGCGGCACCCGCCCGGCCGGCCAAGGCGAAACCCACAACAAACCTAACCAGGTCGCAAGGTCGCGAAGCCCAACTCTTCGTCGACACACCAGACCTCGTCGCCGTCCCCATCCTCAATCTCTCGTCCTAGCAAACCTGCTCGGTATCGACGACTAGGATACTCCTCCCTAATTCCATTTCACACTAATTATTACCACTCTCGTTTGATACCGTCTAACAACGGCGTCTCGCTTTTTTTTTTTTTTTTTTTTTTTCCTAAAGATCGTCTTCCGGACCTGGATATCTCACCTAATTGACGTCGGCGGCAACTCCCACTGCTCGAACCACCACGCGCTCGGTCCCTACCTTATCGCGAACTGTTCAACTGTTTAGGTACTCACCATTCGTGGTTATGGCCTTCCGACCATAGCAACTTTGACCCCGACTACCACGACCAAGAGCAGTATATGTGCTCCCTCCGGTTGGCAACATCTTTCTCCACCACATAAACTTACCCGGAATCGCGATGCGATTGCCTTTCCGCCGGCGCAATGATGCGCGTGGCCAGTCCCTCTCTCCGATATCCGTTCTTCTCACCTTATCTTCAGTAGCGCTATCACCCGTCACCGCGATATCGTTTACCCCCGCGCCCGCGACAAATCTTGACCTCAAGGACCTTGGTCGGGTAGCCCTTGCTGGCGACTTTTCAGGAATATCTCTCTTCCAGTTCGAGGAACAAAATGAACAACCTTTCACAACAAATGGCAGCCAGTCGCTTATGGCACGCATGCCCAACGGCATCTTCAGCCCCGTTGTCACCACAGATGCGACCATCCTGGCCATGTGCACGTTTGTGGAGGGCAACGGGAAGGAGGATGGAGTGATTATCGGCGGAAATTTCACGAGTTTGCAGCTGCCGACGCACGGAAGCGGAAGTCCCGACATTAGAGAGTCCAAAGCGATAGCGCTGTTCAACCCAAACACGTCCAGCATCGAGACATTGTCAGGTCTAGAAGGTCAGGTCTATGCTGTACTGTGTGACCGTGACACCAACTCGGTATACGTGGGTGGAAATTTCGTCGGCAAAGACTCTAGGAATGCGATCGCATGGGTTGGGGGACAGGGATGGACGAATTTACCGTTTAGGGGGTTTAACGGACCTGTGAACTCCATTACGAAGGCATCCAATGGTCATATCATTTACGGAGGAAGCTTCACAGGTCTGGGAAACGCGACTGCGCCGACTGAGCGCGATGGCCAAGTTATCAACCTCTCCTCCGCCACCATCTCAGCCAGTCCTTCGACAACCAGGGATGGGTTCAGTGATCCCAAGAACATTGTGTGCAGTACTAGCGGAACCGACGGGGCAGGCAAGACATGGTTGCTGCAGGACAACTCACCGGGATTCTGGCAGGCAAAGTTTAGACACGGTTTCCGGCCGACAAAGCTTCGCCTATACAACACGCACCTGGACGGCGCTGGAACAAAGACATGGCGATTCACTGCGCTACCCATCAACGGCATCATGAACATGACCTATGTCGACCCAGTCACGAACAAGAACGCTACGTGTACGAGCGAGTGCCCACTAAGCAACAATCAGACTATCAAATTCCAGGATTTCCACTTCATTAACGTCATTGGTATGAACGAGTTTCGTATCGATATTTCGGACTATTACGGAAACGGTGGAGGTTTGAACGGGATCGAGCTATTTGGAGACGATATCTTTTCGTACGCGATCAATGACTTCAACGAGCCTACTTGTGCAAATCTTGAGTTCAAGTCGTCGTCTACTGCCACAGGCCCTTGGCAGGTCACCCCTTCTCATCAGAGCACCTCCGAATATCTGACTGCTCAAATATCCGCACCCATTACCGACACCTCGGCCAAGATCGTTTTCTCGCCGGACATCAGGGAATCGGGCTTCTACTCCGTCAACTTGTACACACCCGGGTGTCTCCAGGATGACACATGCTCGAGCAGAGGACAGGTTCATCTTTCAGGTCAAATGACTGCCGACCCTACCAAGAGTGAACCGGTCGACCAAACACTGTTCCAGACAAATAACTTCGACAAGTACGATCAGATTTATAATGGCATGGTTGATGCGAGCTCGTCCAGCTTTCGGCCCCAAATCACCTTGACGCCAGTTGCTGGCCAGGACTTGGCCAGTCTTACTCTCGTCGCCCAAAGCATCGCCTTCACCTTGATTAACAGTACGGGTGGCCTGAATGGGTTGTTTGAATACACGCCTGGCCAGCATGTGAATGTTAGCGACTTCACGGCCTTGGCTGTCAACCGCCTTGGATCGAGCTTCTCTGGTAAATCCGCTGTCAACACTCTCGCCACCTCTGGCGATACCGTTTTCGTTGGAGGCAACTTCACCTCGCCATCTGCTGAGCACGTTGTTGCCCTAAACACCAAGGACTCGACCAACAAGACATTGGATGGCGGACTCAACGGCGAAGTTCAATCGATGATATTGGACGGCAACACATTGTACGTTGGAGGAAGTTTTAACAGCACTTCCGAGAAGCCGGTAGACGGTCTCAACAATGTTGCCGCCTACGACACCGAGAAGAACACGTGGAGCCCCCTCGGTGCTGGTGTCAATGGCAAGGTCATGCGCGTTGTTGGTTTGACGATGAACATTACCGGGTCAACTCCAGAGTTTGTCGTGAGCGTTAACGGCGACTTTGACGAGCTGAATGCCTTTGATAAGAACTCTGCTGTTTCTGTAACTGGTTTCGGCATTTGGGTGCCTTCACAAAAGAACTGGCTACAAAACCTGGATCTCGAGTTGGAGTCGATTGATGGTGTCCTATCAACGTCCATCCTTGATCGCTCTGGCAACGGTTCCCTCTACGCTGGCTCGTTGGTATCGTCCACGCTCGGTGTGAGGGACATTGCGGGCTTGGGAGAAACGCTCAGCCGTCTGCCAGTGAAGATCCAAGCTCCCTCTAAGCCGTCCAGCTCCAATTCATTGGCCAAGCGCGATAGTTCGATAAGCGCTGATAGCGCTGACAGCCTACAAGGAGTCGTCACAGGCATCTTCGACCAGGAAAACAAGAGGAATCTTACTATTCTCGGTGGTCACTTCACTGCAACCGGTAGCGGATCTGCGATCAACAACCTCCTTATTATGGACGGCAAAAGGAACAACGAAATCTCTAGTCTTGGTGATGGGATCTCACAGGATTCAACTGTCATGGCCCTGGTTGTGCACAATGATATCCTGTTTGCCGGTGGCAACATCACTGGCACAGTCAATGGCAACGAAGTGAAGGCATTGGTCACTTACAACCTTGCCAGCATGTCCTTCAGCTCGCAACCACCCTCTTTGAACGGCGGTGACGGTACTGTCTCTTCTATTGCTGTTCGTGACGGCACAGACGATGTCTATGTCGGAGGATCTTTCACTCAGGCGGGCTCTCTTGATTGTCCCGGCGTCTGCTTCTTCAGCACATCTTCGTCGCAATGGCAACAAGCTGGCCAAAACCTTGGAGGAACCGTCAACACGCTCTTGTGGGTCGATGAGAACCTGCTCCTTGCTGGCGGCAACCTTACCATCAACAACACCGCCTCAGCCTACCTGGCCACTTACGACCCCAAGACCCTGGTATGGGACGCTTACCCTGATGCCGGCCAGCTTCCCGGACCGGTCGAGGTTCTTACTGCCGGCACAAGCGATAACAAGCAAATCTGGGTATCAGGAACCGCCTCCAACGGCTCGGTTTACCTCATGAAGTCCGAGAAGGATGATGGATCATCCTGGCATTCTGTTGGCCAGACCCTGCAGCCCGGCACCAAGATCCGTGGTCTCCAGATCTTCCAGCTCAGCCAGTCGCATGACAAACACTCCCTGATCGACGACAAGGAGGTCCTTATGGTCACCGGCCACATTGTTTTACCCGACTTCGGCTCAGCCTCTGGCGTCCTCTTTGACGGCGCAAGCTTCAGGCCCTACATTCTGACCACCAACTCCGATAACACCCCTGGCTCGCTTGCCGTTGTCTTCTCGGAAAAGCAGAACTTCTTCGGTAAGGATGGCAAACACCTGCCACTAGTGTTTGTTGTTCTCATCGGCCTCGGCATTTCGCTCGCCCTCATGCTCCTCATCGTCGTGGCCGGTTTGATCCTCGACAGAATCCGCAAGAAGCGCGAGGGTTACGTGCCCGCCCCGACGCACATGTATGACCGAGGCAGTGGCATCCAGAGGATACCACCGCATGAGCTTCTGGAGGGGCTAAGTAAAAGTCGATCTGGTGCGCCTCAGATGTAAAGGGACATTGGGGTGATGCGATTAGATGGGTTCTCAATGGGATTAGATGGTTTTGTTGGTCAGTCAGTCAGACAGGAGGAGATACCACAACTTTTTCATGGGGTTTCACTAGCATTCTTGTTCATTCTTTGTCATTATCAATCATCAAGCGTTAATATCACTTCGGGTTTATGACAAAATCCTCAGCAGCAGGCGGCAACTGGTAGCGGCAGCTGCATGGCGTCCTTTCTATGTGCCTTTTTCCCTCTCTCTCACTTTCGCTCCTTCTTCTTTATTCTTCTTCTTCTTGAGTTTACAAATTCGGAGTGCTTTTTCAGCACGCACACCCACAACATGGATTGGTTGACAGACCAAAATGATACCCATCTACTCAACCCAGACCTTGGTTGGTGGAAAGGGCTGCTGTTTGAAGAACTCTAATATACCACGGCTTGGCTTCCTTCGTCTTGTGTTTGTTCGGGCGTTTGGAGATATCTCCTTATGTGGCGTGCTATCATCGTGTGGCTGGGTGGCGGTGTGTCAACGACGCTGGTGAGATGACCTGATGGTAATGGAGACGATAATTCAAGGTACCTTGTAACGCAACTTGACGAGGGTTTCCTTTTTACGGGGCATATCTCAACGACGTCTTTCCTCAACCTTCTTTTTTGATCTCTTTTTTCTGTTTTTCTCGTCTATAAGGCTGCATCTACAGCAAGCCACTTCCCGCTTACTAAGTGTAGTGCGGTAATCTTGTTTTCAAGTACATAATGTTTAGCATCACATCAAGGGTGGCATCTACCATTCCATATCTTTTCCTTCTGCTTAAAGCGAGCCTAGTCGAAAATATTCACGGTTGAAAATCAGAAAGGCTGGTAAAGGAGAGAACGATTGAACGGCAGTGATAGTATAGGGACTGAAAATTGAGCAAAAAACTTGAGTTTCATTCGCATGTACGCAACTTCAATCTTGACTTCCCACAGAATCTGAAGCCAACGAGGTGAGGAGATGATCGCACAATGGCAGCTTTCGTGGACTTTTGAGAATCTAATTGGGACATCAGATATATAGGCTCCCAATCCAAGCCTCATTCTCAACCAATCACGGCAGCTCAACAAGCTGCCCGGCTAGCTCAATCGGTAGAGCGTGAGACTCTTAATCTCAAGGTTGTGGGTTCGACCCCCACGTCGGGCTCAATTCCCGTCGTAAGACTTCAATTTTTTTCAACTTTTTTTTTTTCGTAGTTCAATTTGACAAGATAGTTGTTAGAGCTTCTTGCTCTCCTCATCTTTTTGTTGTGTTTGTCTTTTTCATTCACTGTTGCTTGCGGTACCCTAACGACCGGTGAAAGGTAGTTTGTTTCTACGACGATTCCGTCGAAGCGGTGCAAAAGAATCTCGCCTGCCTGTTGGCGTTGCACTTTGCCTAGCCAACATCATTGCAGACTGGCAAGACACTCCGTAATTTGAGACTAGAAATTGTCCTTCGTTGTCCTATAATTCGTTGCTCTGGTTCACTAGCTTTGGCTTGAATTTGGGCCGACGATTTTGGCAGCGAGGTGCAGTGAATGCATTCAACTCACTGCTTTTTTGACGACGGAAGAAAGACTCGTGGTCGACCTGTGCTGACTGTCTCGAAAGCAGTGAGCACTGCAGTGGCATCAGTTGTTCTTTGCTCTTGTCGACCATGCAGGCCACTTCCCCGTCTTCCTCAGGTTCTTGAGCCATCTGAGGCTCTTGTTTTTGAAGTTCCTGGTTCTGGGCAACCCGCCAGTCAATGATCCTTTGGTTGTATTCGCAGTCCATCACGGGGACTGTTCATCTAGATACTTCTACAGTACCTTATACATTCGACCGGGATAGCACTTCTACTAGCCACTCAGCTACTTCGAAAACTCTCGAGGTCTTTCACGGTGTCCATGTTCGTTGATAAGATTGCTTCAAGAGGATAGAAACACCCCCAACAGGACCTTTCATGTTCAGTGATTCAATCAATCACTGCAATCCAACTGGATACTTAGGTCAACATGATCTTTTCGTCTCCGGGTCTCTGATGTCGTACTTAGGCACCTACCTCTAGCTACCAGTATCGTCCCAAGACAGCGAGCGGATATAAGTATCGGAAGCAATTGCCCAAACTTGGAACAGAACATGCACGGTCTGCGGTACCAGGCAATTGTTGGTCGATCGGCAGTTTCCATGCATCCATCAGGTCTTCTCCTCCTTAGAGGTAAGTTCCGTCTCTCAAGTTCTGAATATTAGGTCAGCTCTTGCTCCCTGGCCGGAATCTGATCGACCGCCAAGCTCCCGCCCAGCTCCTGTCGTGAGAGCATCGCGACTTCCTCCAACCACTGCAGTACGGTGCATCAGACCACTACACACCAATCAATTACACTGGTCAGCCCAGGACCGCCGTGAGCTTAAAACCTTCGAGCAACCGTTCTTGCCCTGCGAAGCTTGTGCCTTCCCACCCGCCAGGCAACTGCCCAGAAACTGGAAGTACCCAGCCTCATCATCTGTTAGTAGCGGGAAACTTTTCCATACATAATTTGATCTCTCTACTACCCTCTCTAACAGTTTTTGATCCAAGATACCTACTTTTCTTTCCAGTCCGATCTCTGGCAGTGGGCTACTATGGATCCTTCTATTCAGTCTTCAGGTTCAAGTTCAGTTGCCTGAGTGAGTGCAGTGGTAGATGTGCCTTGCTGCCGTACCGTGGCTTCTCAGTCCTCCTTCGTCTCATTCAGCTCCGTCGGGAGTGAGGGCGCAAAAGGCGTCCAGTCGGGCAAGGAGTGCCATGGTCGAACAACTGACACTTAATACAAGGTCGGGTACCTTAGCTACCTCTAGGGGCACTTGCCTCTATGCTTCCCAATCTTGGACGCCCTATGGTTACTTCCATTGATGTCACCAAATGAAGTTATTTAAATGACATCAGACCTCATTACTGGCTTTCATGTGCCATTGTGTCCCGGGAATGGCGGAGTGATCAGAGTGTTCTCTTCATGGCCACGCGGCGTCATTCATTGTTCTATTGACCCAACCAGTACTGTACATAGTACCTTAAGGTCAGTATGTGCGTAGTACTTTCCCTCAATCGTGGTTCTATCTGAATACTCAAGTTACTTACCCCTAATACTTGCAACACTCAGTGCAGTGTCATAGAAAAGCTGAGAGTTTCAAGCTTTGTGAAGGTGCCACGCAGTACCTAGTAGGTAGTCTCATCGCAAATCATATCGTCTGTGGAATTGCCTAGACGAGCACGCTTTCAGAAACAGCCCCTTTTCTCTAATAATAACGAGGTCTCCTTGTAGTTCAAGTTCCGCGATGAACTGTCATGTATCTTTTCTTTCCTCAACACAGAAGTCTGGTCCAGTCGCTCTCCAGTCCTCACTGTACACTCAGTGTCGTCGCTGCATGTAGATGGCCTTCTGTTGATCACCATTCCCGAGCTTGAGCTTATGTAGACGACAGGCTGCCATACTCTGATGGTTACTTATGCCTCAGTATCAAACGGATAAAGACGTACCATCTACCTACATGACCGTCCAAGATGATCCGGCAAAAGATCAACACAGCTCTAGTTTTCTTTTCTTTGCTCTCTGTGTCTTTCATCTGCAGTGTAAGCAGTGGCGACGGCCCCTTCCAGCCTGCCGAGCCTTCTATCAGCTCCGTCGCTCTCCTCCTTCCTCTTTTGACACTTGACTTTCTTGACAGGGAAACCTACCTCCATCTGAAGAGGTGGTGGATAGTAGATAGGTGGCGGCTAGATGGAGATGTGCGGATGTGTGATGAAGCGCAAGCTGACAGCCTGTGGCCATGTGACCAACTGCAATACCGACAGGTCGCATAGGTTGACATCTACATCCATCGATAGGGCAGGTATGTAGGTATGTAAGTATGTAGAATGAATCATCACTTAACAGACGCATATTCCACTGCATTGTAGTTTCCTACCTAGTCAAGTTCCCCAAGGGGTGATCGAATAAGTAACAAAAGGTACCTATGTAGCAGGATGGGGAATTATGTCCAAGTTGACGGATAGTTGGTTGAACAGATACGTAGACATCAATGATTGGAAACACTATGCGCACATTCACGCCCGGTGATATCGACCGCTTGCTGCCGTACAGCCTCGAGGCCTTGTGAAGTGACTGGACTCGCTGCCTTCCCTCTTGTACATGTGTGATACCTCCCCAGCTGCCCCCCGTCCATGTTGCTGGCCAATTCACTTAAGGTCTGTTCTATTTTGCATCAAAAGGTTAAAAATAGGTATCCAGTTTTGCATCATTCAGCTCGCAGTAAACATCTTTACAGGTAGATACTGCCGTACTGCGCTCGTCGAGCGTTCGACTTTTTTTTTTTTTTTTTTTTTTTTTTTTTTTTTACAATCATCAAGGCTATTGCCAATTGATGGTACCTACCCTCTGAGCTCCACAGTATTGCACAGTGCATATGCCGTGATGGAAAAACAAGATACCAGGTACAGGGGGGAAAACGAGTACGAGGGCACTATGTAGGTTTGGCTTTATATAAGTAGGTACCGATGATTACAACGCAGTAAGACGGCCGTTATGAGGGTCTTGGTATGCCTCAATGCTGCCTTAATACTGCAGAGTGCAGCTGCAGACCCTGCACGGTAAGAGAGTGGTTGAAAGAAAAAACCTCCAACACGAACTTGAACTGGCCGCTTTACACTACTTGACTTTACACTCACATTTCCTTGACCTTTGCGCCGGCTACTGAGCGGCAAAAAATGGTTATGGATGACGCTGACGAATGTAGGTAGATTACAACATTCACCTGATGATAAAAGCCTACTTAGCCAACAACTCAGTTGGATGGTTACCTGGGAGTGACATTGTAGTAGTAGCTCATGGTGATAGAGCCAAGTAAAGAAACATGGAATGGCCAAGTTAGTTGCTGGTTCCTACGTACGCTGCTATTCTCTACTCGCTTTCAGGCGACTGAGCCGCACAGATCATCATGTATGTAGTGTACACAGAGTACATATGTACTCAACTCCGGAGGTTGACTCCCGCTATAACATTCCCACTAGTGTCACGGTACCGAGCAAACTCCGATTCTGGTTGTGAGTGGTGGATGTAAGATCGAGACATGTTGATCCTGCAGCAAGTCACACAGCAGCAAGTCACACAGCAGCAAGCCCAACTAAGCTACTTAACAGACTGAAGCTAACCCACTCCCAAGAGGACGCTAACCAAGGGCAACTAAACCTTATATAGCCTAGACGTAATGCAGGAAGGGAGCCCGGCTTGCGGGCGCGCAGCGATGCGCAGAGCGGGAGGCGGTTGGGGGTGGACAATTATCGTATGATATCGACGTAAGGTTGACGGGTCCCCTTGAATCCCCTTGGTCGCCCCGGATCCCTCAAGTACCGGTAGGGTGGGTGGATGCCCAAAAGGAGCGAAAAGGAGTGGTCGGTTGTGAGTTTGGCGGGTTGCAGTTCGATTGCATGTGCGCCTGATGAGGACTGGGGGGCTATGTGGTCGGATGGGGTCTCTGTACCGATAGGATCTTTGCCATTTTGTGGTTGTATAGTAGTGTAGTTTCCCGCAGTTCCTACAGTGATGGTCAAAAAATACTGTCCCCCCTTTAAGTCATTGGATATGTGGGTGAGAGGGACAGTATTTTTTGACTATGAGTTTACCGAGCCTACTTCAGCTACCAATGGAAATTGAAAGTTAGTACATACGTACGCCATGTTCATGCACCTCTCTCGGACTCTCCCAGCCGACATTTCTTTCACCTTCTCAGGCGGTATGCTTGGTGCAGAGAGAAGATGCAGACTTACCATGTGCGAGCAATAGTGTACACTTACACATCCTCATGGCAGTTTTTTTTTCTTTTTTCTTTTAATCTTGACAAGCAGCTTGTGAATTGTCTCCAGCGGAGACCCTATTGTCCAGCAGATTTCGAAAAAGGGCTCCATGCTCTGGACAGACTGGAACAAAAAACAAAAAAAAAAAAAAAAAAAAAAAAAAAAAAAAAAAGGTCGAGGGCCTGGATACCCGATACCGTCACATGAGTCTTACCAGGCTGAGCTTAGTGAACCGGTACATAGATTGGTAAAAGTTCACTGCCGATAAAAGCCGTAGTGGATACAGACAGGTCCGCTTCCAAGGTGGAAATACCTTCAATATCGACTTTTGGCCCTGGGCCCTGAACGATCTGGATGATAGCGGATAGCCTCCCAAAACCTCGACTCACTCACTTTCATCTTACAGAAGCTTCACCTTTGAAACGCCACCAACGAGGCACGGCATTTGATAGGGGAAAAAAAAAAAGAGGGGAACAGGTCTTACTGGCGAGACGCTGAAGCACTCTAGACTCTAGTGTACCTAGTGTGTATTGTCCACTCACACCGCTCTTTATTACCGCCTTATACTACATATCTGCCGCCTCTATGGTATGTACCCGATGATGGGGGTGTGTCGATCGGGGGAGAATGGGAAGCACGAGGGTTTCCGGCGCCCTGGAGCAGCTAGTATGTAGTCTAGTGTACATACTGCGTGGACTATGGAGTTGCGTGCGGTGACTGATCGTGGACCGACACTACTGGATCTCTGTTTATGGACCTTCCTTTCTTGTCGTGCCGAGAAACTTGGTGACAGCCTTGCGGAGTTTTGTGAAGCGCCTCTGGACTTGTGTATTGTGTGATGGGGAACATTGGGCGCTGGCTGGCCTCGTCTTTTACCATATCTCGAGCGTCAAAGGATTACCCCTGCCCAGTGCATGGGGCCGCGAATGCCGAACCGTGATATGTTTGAGAATTAGCGGAACGATATGTCTTGGAGGACATTCCAAGGAGGGCTGTCCTCCCATTTTACTTCTCTTTCGTCGCTGGGCTTTTGGCTGTGCGAGTGTAGTGTACTAGCTTTTGCTTCAGTACCCTACGATGTGAAGCCTGTGGTTAGGGGTTTGTCCCATTGCAACCGGCCATTCGGCGGGGTTGTCGATCACGACCAGACTGCCACGAGGTATAAAGGGGTAAGAGAAAGAGACAATGTCCCATTGTTTGCGAGCAAGGTGGTACGGTACGTACCATTCCCCAGGAAATGCAAAAGTGGAGTGTAAAGAAGCTTCGCATGATAAAGGGAATACGGGGAGGGAGGGCCAGGGGCGGGAAAATATGGCGACAACGAAATGCAAGCCACAACGCCCAACATTTGTTCTTTCGTCCACAACAGCAGTGGCTCGGTAATTTGCAGACTGCCAAGCGGCCGGCCGATATCAATTCGATACAGCGACAAGCATAAAGAAAATAAAAAGCATTGAACACAATTGAGGTTATTCCCTGGTGCTAGGTATTAGGGAACCCAGGGATGATCTATCATGTCCCAAGGGGCGTGCTGAGGTTATGTCGATCACTGACCAGGGGTAAGGGACGCCTTGTCGACGCCCCTGGATCAGGTGAATTTGAATTTGTTGACCAGCAGAAAAAGATCCCTGACAACGTCAAGTAGAAGGAAGGGTTGGCCTGGGGTGGCGCATCACAACAGAGTAAATGAACATGTGCAGCAGCCGTCGGTCAATATCACGACATGCTTGTAGTTAGAACCGGACCCGCCTCCGACCGCGCTTTCGCAAAATCGAGACTGAAGGGAACGTTACGGACAGCAGCTCAGGCATGTCTTGTTGTGATCCCTTTCATGAAA